TCATTTCACATGTCCAATTTCAAGGGCCACTAAAAGAGGCTCATGTTTGCCTTGCTACCCTGAAGTGCTGTAGGTATTTCCAGGAGAAAAAGAAAAAAATCACTGTCCTGTGTTGTGGTAGAAATGCCAGCACAATTGTGACTCTGTGAGCAAAGAGAGCCAGTGCTTTTTGGAGCTGCAGCACCTGAGAGTGTGGCAGAGCGGTTTTGATATTCTCTTTAGAGTCCTGAAAGCATTGTTCCCAAAACAATCCACAACTTTGCAAATGTGCCCGAAGCAAATGCAAAGACACCTGGGGAGTGAAAAACAAAGAATATTTATTTGTAGAAGAAAAGGAAAAAGAATGAACAACATATTTACATTGTAAGAATATTGGTAACAACAACAACAAACTATAGAACCTATTTACCTAAGAACATATCTAACAAAACTACATGAAACGTATTTACAGAACACTTAAGCAAACTCCAAAATGTCTATCAGAACACAACAACTGTAAAACGTATATACAGCAGGGTGGCATCTGTGTCCGGGATGTGCCTCAGTCCTGGAAGAAAAACAAGTAGCACGGTCAGTGCAGTCAGGCATGGAGGGGTGTTCCATGTGCTGCCAGGCTGGGACACTGGCACAGTGGGACTCTGCTGCCAGAAGTGAGGCTGGCTGGGGCTGGGGGCTGTGGCCCAGGCACTGGAACAGGGCTTGTGTGGCCCAAAGCAAGCCCAGGCCAGGCCAGGGATGGCCAGCAGAATCCAGTGCATGGGCTAGCGTGTCCCTGAGCAGGGAGTGCCCAGCCCAGCCCCAGGCTGGCAGCAGGGGACCCACTCTGCCTGTGGGGAGCACCTGCCTGTTCTGCTGCTGGCATGGGTCTTCATCCCAACACCATGTCCTCCTCCTCATCTTCCATATCAATATCCATCTCCTCAATGTGCTCTTCCATGTCCACCTCCATTTCTTCCTCTGTCACATCCACATCCATCTCTTCCTCTCCCGTCTCCTCTCCATCCACTTCCATTTTCTCTTCGGTATCCATCTGTGTATCCACCTCCATCTCCTCTTCTGTGTCTGTGCCAGCCTGCAGAGGTAGCAAAATCTCCCAGTGGGGTCCCTTTCCCACACTATCCCACAGAGCTCCAGCCCAGCCAGGCAGCTGCGGGGTGTCCACCTCCGTGGAATAGTACCATACCTTCTTTGGAGCAAATGCAGACATCCTGCAGGGATGGAGAGCAAAATGCACTCAACGGGGAGCTTTGGGGACTGCTGGGGGTATGAGGGAGCAGGTGACAACAAGGTGACAGGGGTAGGCCTGGAGCAGGGTGAAGAGCGTGCTGACACAAGGAGCCAAGGGTTGTGTTGTGGCCGTTGCTGGATGCTGGAAGTTCTAGCTGGAGCGTGCACTGTGACATCAGTGCCAGGAGCCCAGGCCCAGGCTGAAGTGGACAAGGGAGATGCTAGAATGATGGAATCCCTGGGTGCTTGGGCTTGGAAGGGACCCTAAAGACCATCTTGTTCCAAGCTGAGCAATCTTCCCCCAGAACAGGTTGCTCAGAGCCCTGCTCCCAGCTGGCCTTGGATGTTGCCAAGGATGGAGCATCCCCAGCCTCTGTGCCCAGCCTGGGCCAGTGGCCCAGCAGCCTGAGTGGAAAAGAGCAGCTGCATTAGATCCAACTTCAATCTCACTCCTGCAGTTGAAAGCCTTCTCCTCTCTGTGCCCATCTTTCCTAGAGCTGCAGGGAGGCCTCCCCAGCCCCTTCTCTTTCCAGGCTGAGCATCCCCAGCCCCACATGGACAGCACTCAGATCCGTGGGGGTCGAGGCTAAAGGGTGGCAAACGGCATCAGGAAGTGAGAGATGGAAGCTTTTGGAGATGGAAGGTTTGCCTCTAAATGGAGAAAAGAAATGAAAGTGGAGGGGAAAATGGTGGGACTCTGGCACTGTTCTAACTGGGGAAGATTTTCTTTTCCTCTTTTCTGTCGTGCTGCCCCAAGTTTTGTTGTTTGAAAGGAGGTTTGGCAAAATATCCATTGTCTTCTCCATTAATAAAAAAATACCACAGAATTCCAGTAAAATCTGACAAAATATCTACAAAAATCCCACAAAATGGCAGAAAACCACCACAAAATTCCCTAAATTTTTTATTATTATTAAATGTTTTAATCCCACAAATTGCAGAAAAAATTCTACAAAACTGCAGAAAAAATTCACAAAATTCCAGAAGAATTCCACAAAAATTAATGAAAAATCTCATAATTCTTTAATTTTTCTTTAAATCCCACAACATTCTAGAAAAAATGCACAAAATTCCACAAAAAACCCCAACAAAATTCCCTGAATCTCCTCAAATTCCCACAACTAAACTCCAAACTCCATCCAACAAAAATCCCTCAAAATTCTTGATATCTCCTGAAAATCCCACAAAATTTCAGAAAATTCCACAAATTTTCTGAAAACTTTCAAAAAATTCCACAAATAATCCACAAAATTCTACAAAAAGTAACTAAATTTTCTAAATTACCTCAAATTCCCACAAAATTGCAGAAAAGCTCCACAAAATTCCCTAAATCTACTCAAAATTCCACCAAATTCCAGAACTATACCACAAAATCTTCTCCAGTTTTCAAAGACAGCCAGAAATAACCCTCAAAATTCCAGAAAAAATCCACAAAATTTCAGAAAAATCCCACGGTTTCCCAAATCACTTCAAAATTCCTCAAAATTCCCTAAATTTTCTCAAAATTGCATAAAATTCAAAAAAACCCTACAAAATTCCACAAGAACTCCACAAAAATATTTAAATTTTCTCAAAATTCCAGAAAAATTCCACAAAAATCCCACAAAAGTCCACAAAAATCCAGGAAAATCTCACAGAATTCTTTAAGTCTCTTCAAAATCCCACAAAATTCCACAAAAAATGTTCAAAATTCCACCAAAATTCACAAAACTCCAGTAAAATCTGATAAAATTCTACAAAAATCTCACAGAATTCAAGAAAAATTCCACAAAATTGCAGTAAAATCTGATAAAATGACACAAAAATCCCAAGAATTCCACAAAATCCCATGTAATTCTACAAAAATCCCACAGAATTCTTCAAATTTTCATAAAATCTACAAAAATCCAGAAAAAATCCCACAAAATACTTTACATTTTCTCAAAATCCCACAAAATTCCAGAAAAAATCCACAAAATCCCACAAAAATAAAAAAAAAATCCAGTAAAAATCCCATAAGATTCCACAAAAATCTTATAAAATTCCCTAAATCTCTTCAAAATCCCACAAAATTTTTTTAATCACCCCAAAATCCTGCAAAATTCCCGATGGATCCCACAAAATTCCACAAAACTTCTAAAAAATTCCATACATCTCCTCAAAATTCCAGAAAATTACAGAATAATCCCACAAAATGATTGAAATCTCCTCAAAATCCTCTAGAATTCCAGAAAAATTCTACAAAATTACCTAAATCTCATCAAAATCCCACAAAATTCCAGAAAAAATCCACAAAATTCCACCAAAATCCCACAAAATTCCCTACATTTTCCCAAAATGCCACGTCTGATGGGTTGACGTTTCAGACAAGAAAGAGAAGCACCTAAGGAAGTTGAAGCTGCTGGAGGCTGAGAGGAGTTTTTCTCCTGGCCCATAAGAGGCCATTGCTGAGAAGTGCCAGCAGTTTTGCCCATTGCAAAGTGCCATCAAGCTGGGAACAGCACTTGAAGCCCTAAGGCCGGCAATTTCTCTTGGCTCTCTTTGCTTTGCGCCTTTTGAAGAGGTAGCAGGGCTCGGCTTCAGCCTCCTTCCCCCCAGGCCAGCCAAGGCCACGGGAGGGGAGCGGGGCTGGCCGCAGCTCTGCGCTTCCCGGGGAGGATGGAGACTGGCAAGTGCCAGGAGCCCCTTCTCAGAGGCTTGGCTGGGCCTTGCACAGCGGGGCTGCCGGGCCAGGCCGCTCCCTGCCTGGCCTGCACTTTGTGCCGCTGCTCAGTTTCACCACAGGCTGCCACTAAAGGCAGGGAAAGATAGCAGCTTGCAGCTTTGTGCTCAGATAATGGCCACACTCCCCACAGCAGCCATGGGGAAAAATCATCTGTGTTCCTGAATGCCAACAATTTCATCAGATTTCACTGGAATTTTGTGGGATTCTCTGGGATTCTGTGGGATTTGGAGGAGACTTGAAAAATTTTGAGGGATTTTTCTTAGATTTTGTGGAAATTTGTGGACATTTTGTGGAATTTTGAGAAGAATTAGTGAATTTTGTGGGATTTTTCTGGAATTTTGTAGGACTTGGTGGAGATTTGGTGGGATGTCTCTGGAATTTGGTAGGGACTTCAGAACATTTAGGGAATAGTGTGGGATTTTTCTTCAATTTTCTGGAATTTTCTTAGATTTTTTGGAAATTGGAGGAGATTTTGTGGGATGTTTCTGGAATTTTCTGGGATTTTGGGGAGTCATGAAGAATTTTGTGCTATTTTCTTAGATTTTGTGGAGATTTTGTGGGATGCCTCTGGAATTTTGTGGGGGTTTTTTTTGTAATGCTGTGCAATTTTCTGCTATTTTGTGGGATTTGGAGGAGACGTGAAGAATTTTGATGGATTTTCCTTGAATTTTGTGGAGATTTGTGGAGATTTTGTGGGATGTTTCTGGAATTTTGTGGGACTTCAGAACATTTAGGGAATAGTGTGGGGTTTTTCTTTAATTTTCTGGAATTTTCTTAGATTTTTTGGAAATTGGAGGAAATTTTGTGGGATGTTTCTGGAATTTTGTGGGACTTCAGAACATTTAGGGAATAGTGTGGGGTTTTTCTGTAATTTTGTGGAATTTTTATAAAATTTTGTGGGTTATTGGATATATTTTGTGGGATTTTGGTGGGATGTTTTTGGGATGTTAGTGGGATTTTGAGGAGACTTTAAGAATTTTGATGAACTTTCCTTGAATATTGTGGAAATTTTTGGGGATTTTGTGGGATGTTCCTAAAATTTGGAAGGGTTTTGAGAAGATTTAGAAAATTTTGTGTGAATTTTCTGGAATCTTGAAGGATTTTGTGGAGACGAAGAATTTTGTGGGATTTTTCTTAGATTTTGTGGAATTTTGTGGAGTGCTGGTGGGATGTTTCTTGAATTTTGTGTGATATTTTATTCTAATGTTGTGGAATTTTCTGCTATTTTGTGAGATTTTGAGGAGACTTGAAGAATTCTGTGGGATTTTTCTTAGATTTTGCAGAATTTCTTTTTAATTTTGTGGAATTTGGAGGAGATGTGAAGAATTTTGATTGATTTTTCTTGAATTTTGTGGAAACTGGTGGAGATTTTGTGAGATGTTGCAGGAATTTGGTTGGGTTTTGAGAAGATTGAGGGAATTTTGTGGGATTTTTCTGGAATTTTGTGGAATTTTTCTAAAATTTTGTGGGATACTGAGGAGATTTTGTGGGATTTTGGTGGGATGTTTGTGGGATTTTGAGGAGACGTGAAGATTTTTGATGGATTACCTTGAATTTTCTGGAGATTTGTGGAGATTTTGTGGGATGTTTTTGCAATTTGGTAGGGTTTTGAGAAG